GTTTGAATCCCGGGATGGCCAAGATTCGAACCATCTATAGGTAGGCTGTTTGTACCCATTTTGATTGTACAACCAGCCAACACCAGTACCAGTAATGCTAGAGCAGTGCAGCAAGGAACAGTGTTCCTGATCACTAGCCACTAGCAATGATCACTGTATTCTTCCCCCCATACTCCCCTGTGCCTCCTTACCTTCATAGAAAGGAATCCCCCATAAACACCAACTGTGCTGATTATCACATCATCTTTGGCCGACTTCACACTGGTATGGTAACTGGGACTTGATTGGCTATGATCGAGAACACTGTTGCTGGCTTACACTGGTATGGTGACACTGGGTCTAAGGGGGAGGTGATCAGGAACACTGTTGTTGGCTGACACTTGTAAAACACAGTTTTTGACAAGTCCTTTAACCTCCCTGGCGGTCTAACTAATCAATATTTTTTTACTGTCAAGCGGTACATTGTTTTGCATGGAAAGTTGTTTTATATTGTAGGCCTGTAATTCTTAGGAATAACTCTCTTAAATCTGTCCAAACAAGAATCTAGTAAACATCCTGGGTATGAAAAAGTCTGAAACACGAAATCATAAATTATAATGTAATAAATAATTATAAAAAATAATAATATAATAATAATAAATGTAATTCAATAATGTAATCAAACTAAAAACATTGAAATTTTAAATATAGTGCCAAGTTCGCACATCACTGAGCTAAGTCGCAGAATAGTTTTCAGTGCCTGATGATGAATTTCCCCATGAATCACTATCGCTCAATTCTGCAAGTGATTCTAATTCACTATCGCTGTTTTCTAGCTGGTTTAAAAATGCTTTTGACCTAAAGGGACGCTTTTTGGATCCCATGGATGCTCTCAAGTTTCCAGGCAGAAAGAACGGTAAATGTGCAGGTAGGGCACTGGACAAAGCACTAGGGACAAAATTTAGGTGAAATGGTTTGATACAGTAATGTAATCCTAACAGATTACATTGTAATGTGTGTATGTCATATTTTTACTTATTTGAATCTCCTACCGGTTCCGCCCCCCTGCGTCATGACGCTTGCAGGGAAAAGAACCTGGAAGACGGATGCTGGCATCGGCTGGAGGACATGGCTGAAAGACACAGTGGGAGGACATCGTGGGATCACAGGACAAGGTAATGATTGGGGGATTGCAGGAGAAGCAATATAGCATAATCCCGAGTGTGGCTCGGGGTTGCTGCTTTTGATACTGTAAATTAACCCCGAGTCACACTCGGGATTACTGCTAGGAAGGTTAAAAGAAAAATCCCCCCCAAAAAGTCCTGCGATGTATATCCACTGTCAACCACATCAGTCGTTGATGTAAATTTATGTCAGTCACAATGCCCTTGTCACTTTCGGATATGTCCCATAAGAAACCTAATGTCCTAGGAGTTTTTCAGTCAGGCTTCATGAGGTACGTAAAAGGCCTACACCTATAGGAAGAGTATTATTCAACCTTAGTCAGAGCTGCACAGTTTGTTTTATCAACAGACACTCCTTATCTGCATAGCATTTTTTGGGTAAAGGTGAACTATCCCTTTAAGTGTGAGATGGGAAACACCAACTGCCAACTTCCCCACATGCCAGTCTCACAAAGATCTTACTGTCATTGACAATTATTCCAATTCATGGAGTCTCACAACTATATAAAATACTGCCCTTCTCCTGCACATCACAATACACTTACTTATCCCCATAGAAACTGAGCTACCTCATCTGGTCCCAGAAAAAAAAAAAAGTCTTATAACTGACAGGGAATACTTTACTACTAAAATCAAGGTGTCCAACTTCAGGTTCCAGGTCAGATGGTATTACATGTCTGTAAATTTACACTCCATATATACAACATATTCTCATCAATGTTGGGGGGCTGTGGCTCTGAGGGCACCTACGGTGCTACTTCCCACTGATCCAGTATTTCTCTGTGAGTGTTGTAGGATACATTTCTGCCATCACAGAAATCTTACTGTCTCCTAACTAGGGATGAGGTTCATAATCAATGCCACACAGGATTTGCACAAAACCCAAAAGCCAAAGCAAAACTTGGTCTGTAGATGGAAGTCGTTCATTTAGTGGTTGTATGAGGCAGTAGAATAACAGTAAAATTCCAGCCACATTCTTTGTTTATATTATTGCTCGTTTTTGTTTCCCTGAGTAGGCTAATGATACACTGAAGGAGCTTCATTATAACATCTCCTCATTCAAAATAGGCACTCATAGGTTCTCTAGGTGATTGCTGGTGATTTTAATCATGTCAGCTTGAGAGACTTTCTACCAAACTTTCATCAACATGTCTCTATTGCCAGGTAGTGAACACACTTACTCAAGTATATACACAGAGATGGGGGCATACAGAGTGCATTCTACCTCAGGCTTTCCGACCACATTTCTATCATGCTGGTCCCTGCCTACTACCCACTTTTAAAGAGACAGCAACACATGTCAGAGGCATGGTTCCTGGAGGAAAATGCATTATGGATTACAGCAGAAGAGATCCAGTATGTCACAAGGGTCTTTCTCTTCCTGATGCTCTGATCACTTTGTATGCTTGTTTTGAGAATTCCAACACTTTCCCTGGCTCCAGCCTTACCCCCTTCAGCAGGCAGACATAATATGAAATAATATTTCAGGATGGATCCTTAAGGACTGTGCACACCAGTTTTCAGAGGTGTTAATGGACATCTTTAAAAACTCTATTTCTCATCAGACTATCCCCACATAAAAATGACCACAATTGCTGGATTAATCTTAGAATTTAAGCTTATAACTTTGGGCCTAATCACCTTAGTTGGAACCCACAGGAAGACTCTATCCATGACTTAGAGCTCTGGATTGTTAGAACATCTCTTTTGAGACTGGCCAGACTGCTGAACTGTATTATGGAATTGGCATCAGGTACATCCAGGTACATTACAAGAAATGAGATGAAACAAGTACATACAGGGATGGAGACCATATACACAGAAGAATAAGCAGGACCCATTTGAAGAATTAAAGCAATTGTTAAATACATTTCATCCCATGGTATTAAATCATGCCACTTTACCTGATCAGCAGAAACCTGAGAGTAAAGAAATTTTACCAGTGCCAGTGTCTGAGTCATTCCTTCTGCCTGTTGGTCACTAGATGGTAGGCTGAAGATAAGGATAGCTGAATGCCTAGTTGGTTACAGATAGGTCTCCAAAACTGGGCCACAAACTGTGTGCCACAGCCCAAGACTATACTGATGGGTTTTCCCATGGGGCCTGAATATGTTTTTGATTAATAGTGCAGAAAGTTTCTTAGCAGAGAGTACTTTGGGTAAATAAGACTATATTTGGCTAGAGTGGAGATAAAGGTAAAAATACTTAGTTCCAACGGTTCAATGCCCACAAAGACCCTTCCTAACATCTTTTCTTCTGGGTGCCGCTCTTCAACAACCTTGATTGACTGCCATGGGATGACATCACTCATGCACATGTACAAGCGTGCAGTCACTCCATGACACAGGAAGTGTGCCAGAATTCAAACTAAGCTGTGCATGTGCACACATTACACCTGTAAATGTTAAAAAAGATTGCAAGCAGAGACTGTATTTTATTGCAGAAGAGATATGCAATCCAATAAAGACTCTGCCTGTTTGTATTTTTTTATTTTTTAACTTTAGTTCTTTTTTAATATCATCTTTGCAATGTTTTGCATTTATGAACATTAACCCTCATTTGTTACATAGTTGCCCAATTAAACAGTGCATTGAGATTGGAGAGTTGAATTGTAAGTTGGAGACATCCTGTAACATTTATAAATATGTTAAAAATTATGGGTCCCAACACTGAACCCTGGGGTACACCACTAATAACCTTAGATTATTCAGAGTATGAATCATTAACCACTACTCTCTGAACATGGTCTTTTAGCGCAGTTTTCTATCCATTTACAAATTGATTTTTCCATGTCTGTAGACTTTACCTTATAGGTTCCCCCATAGTTTATATCCTGCTGATCTGGGGCATCTTGGGCACGGGAGGTGGGGTTTGGTGGTGGGGGGTGTTTTTTTTTTCCTTTTCCCTTCTCCATGCATTCCAGGCATCAAAAAAAATATTTTTTTTTGTTTGGTTTATTTGTATACTTTGTAAATTTATGAATTTTGTAACTTTACACTGTTTTGTTTATTTAGTTTGGTTATGTTGTTACTATTGTTTCATACAGTCATATCACCTATCTTCACAAGGGAGTGGATCCTGAAGAAGCAAGAATATCTTGAAACGCGTTGATCCATTATGCTATCTTGAACTTGCAAACTTGTGTCCATTATGCTACTTCTGATATAGAGATTGATTTTCTTCTTTGACCTTTTTCATTGGATTTTAACTTTGTAGTAAAGTTGAACTGATTTTACCTTGGTATATGCCCTCTTTAACCACTTGCCTACAGGGCACTTATACCCCCTTCCTGCCCAGGCCAATTTCCAGATTTCAGTGCTGTCACATTTTGAGTGACAATTGCATGGTCATGCAACACTGTACCCATATGAAAGTTGTATAATTTTTTTGAGACAGATAGAGCTTTCTTTTGGTGGCATTTAATCACCTCTGGGTTTTTAATTTTTTTGCTAAACAAACCAAAAACTACTGAAAATTTTGAAAAAAAAAAAATGTTTTTTCTTAGTTTTTGTTATAAAATTTTGTAAATAAGTGATTTTTCTCCTTCACTGATGTGCGCTAATGAGGCTGCAGTGATGGGCACTGATAGGCTGCACTGATGGGCACTGATAGGTGGCACTGATGAGGAGACATTGGTAGGTGGCACTGATGGGCATTGACAGGCATCACTGATGGGCACTGAAAGGCAGCACTCATATATGGCACTGATGGGAGGCACTGATAGGCGGCACTGACTGGCACTGATAGGCGGCACTGATAGGTGGCACTGACTGGCACTGTTAGGTGGCACTGACTGGCACTGTTAGGCAGCACTGTTAGGTAGCACTGTAGTGCTCTGATAGGCAACACTGATGCGCACTGATAGGTGGCACTGACTGGTACTGATAGGTGGCACTGACTGGCACTGATAGGTGGCACTGATTGGCAGCATTGATAGTTGGCACTGACTGGCACTGATAGGTGACAGTGAAAGGAAGCTTAGATGAGCACTGATATGTGGCATTGATGTGCACTGCTGGTACTGATATGTGGCATTGATGTGGTACTGATGGGCACTGACAGGTGGCATTGATGAGCCATGACAGGTGGCATTACTGGGACTACACTGATCATCAGGGCACACTGATCATCAGTGCCCTGATGATTGGTGTACATTTCCCCTCTGAGGGATGCCAATTACTGGCTCTCCACTCCTCACGAGCTCTCAGCGTGACAGCTCATGAGGAGAGAAATGCCGATAATCGGCATTTCCCTATTTACATGGGATCAGCTGTGATGGACACAGCTGATCACATGACCGAGCCGACATCTTCAGCTCTTTCCGTTGATCAGTGATCCGCTGTGTCCGATGGACACAGCGCACCTCCGTTTGCCATGCTGCACGCCCCCAGAGCCGCGCATGCGCGGTTAGAGTGGGAGAACGTCATCTGACGTCCTTCCAAAAGGAGAGAACCGCCTTGCACCCGTCATTACCTTATATGGCAGACGGGAAGCAGGTAAGGCACAATGCACTTCATTTAATGGGAGAATAGAGAAAGATTAGGGTTTCTATTGTTAGAGTTTACATACACTTTAATATATCATAATTATCTCTGACAGGCAGTCAGCCTTTCACCTTGTGATTTACTAAAAAAGTACAATGTTGAAGTCTGTTTACTGTGAAAGAGGAGGATGAGGAAATGCTTTCTCGTATTTGCAGAAGGATGATGTCACTTGCGTGGGGCTCTGGGACTGCTTTTTATTGATAAACGGTACAACTTTTTTTTATTGGCATACATTGTGACAGATCAGAAATGTATGCATGCAGACTTGTAGGGTGCCTATTTTTAGGAATATTTAAAATATACCTTACTAAAAGGTGCTTTTAAATATAAAAAAAAAATATTACTTTGAAGCATAAAATATTTTCATCATTCATAAATAGCACACAAATAATCTGTTTTACATGGTGGCATTTTCCTCCATTCCAAGTTCAGTCTTATAGCCTACAATGTGATGTACAATACAGTTTACAACAAACTATTAAACATTTTAACATCACTTATTATTTAAATATGTGTATGCATATGATACTTAATTTATTACTAATATAGTGTATTAGGAATCTTCTTATATTATAACTTCTAAAACGCATTTCTGCTCCCTTTGCTTCCTTAGATCGGTTTACCTTGCTGGACTAAGGATATATTTAATATTCAGCAAATGCTTATCATAGTTATTGTGATGTAATTAGTGTGGTGTTGTGCTGTCATTCAGGAGCATTTTAAAAACTCCAGAGGCAGCCCTTGACTCACATTTCATTACAGAAAGCAGCCAGACTGAAAGGATGTGCTTCCAGGGAGAGTTGTGCTCTGTGATGGCTGCGTGCCCAACACATTTGGGATGTCACAGAGGAGCACAAAAGATGCATGTGCTAAAATATATTTTCAGCTTGCACTCTAACCTAAATCACGGTGACATTTTTTTACTGGCAGGAAATACAGTCTCCAAAGATTTAAAGTAGGCCCTTTTGCATAGCATGTTTAAATACTGCATACTATAGTAAATACACAGTACATACTATGGCTGCTGGTTATGCATCTGTTTAAGTTTATTAACAACACAGAAAGCTACACACAATATACAAATCTAACTGAAAAACATACAGATTGCTTTTATTGCAGGTAATTTTGTGTGACTTTAGGATTTCATTGTTCGCAACATATATTGGTGTTTTGGGGATGACACTTACTGTAGTCTGGTTTACTTCTAAGGAAAATATTCTTTGTACTAGCTCTAATTATTATTACAGGTACTTATGATGGGCCATCAATTTATGCTTTACATATGTATTGTACATGCACATCAGTCCCTAACCTTCAAGGGGCATACAATCTAAGGTCCCTAACTTACATTCATACATACACATACTAGCACCAATTTAGACAGGATCCAATTAACATACTAGCATGTCTTTGGAGTGTGGGAGGAAACCAGGGTTCCCAGAGGAAACTCACACAGGCAGAGCATGCAAACTCCAGGCAGGTGGTGTGGTGGTTGGGATTTGAACTAAGAACCTTAATACTGTCCAGTGGAAGTGCTAACCATTTAGCCACCGTGCTGCTCTAATGCAGCCTTCCAAATTTATATTTAGATTGGGTTTGACAAACACATGTGAATATAATATTTTGTGCAGTGTACTGATTTTTATTTTTGTTTTTTTTGTTAATTTGCTGTCTGTGTTTCATTGGCTAAGAATTTAGTTCAATGTAAGGAGAAGACGCATCCCAAAGTAAGAAAAAATCTCTTCAATGTGATGCAAAATTTCCTTTTTAACAGTTGCCACTAGAACAGTTGTAGCTTTTGAAAGATTTTTCCTCATTTCCTGTTTTAGTGACAAATGTAACATGTTTAATTTCTTATCAGTTTCCTTCTGCCTTTTCTGTGAGAAAATACTTAAGACAAATAGAGAGGGTGACTCTCCCAAGCATCAAAACAAAAGGTTTTCAAAGATTTACAGTTCATTTTCTTAAAAAAGCTCCCACAGCCTAAATAGAAAAGCCTTGCACTTTGTGTGAGTGCAATGATCTCTCTGCAGAGGTCTGAAGTGCCTCTGGCTTAGGCTGGCCATACACTATACAATTTTCTGTCCAATTTCTGCCCAATTTCCTTTAGATTTACCTTCAACTATGTAGTGCAAGGGCCTGCCTAATTGGAAACAATTGAAAGTGTTGTTATGTTTGACCTCTTGTTATATGGTGTTTGGTAAATCTAAACCAAAAATCTCAAGAAAATTGTATAATGTATGGCCAGCCTTATGGGGGCCATAGACAGATAAAAAATCGGCCGATTTTTTGGGCGAAAAAAAAAAAAATCGGGCGATTTTCGCACCGTTAGTGGGCTAATTGGTTGGCCGTTTTTTGGGGTTTTGGCACATTTTTTTATCGGTCATGTTGGAAATTTCACGGCCGATTTTGAAGATCGGCCGATTTTCCCAGCAATGATGGGCAAATTGGCTGATCGTTTTACCGATAAAAAATCTGCACATGAGCTGTGACCTGCAAGAAGAAAAAGAAGAAGAAGTAAAAGAAGAAAAAAGAAGAAGAAAAAAAGAAGAAGAAGAAGAAGAAAAGAAGAAGAAAAAGAAGAAGAATTCCAGTCCGCTATTATATTTTACATGAAAGTCTTGTGGTTGCAACAATGTATCCATTTGTATCCGAATAAAAACATCTGTTTCCGAAATGGATATAAATGGATACATTGTTTCAACTGCAAGACGTTCATGTAAAATATAATAGCGGAGCTCTCTGCAAGGGACAGAAGTAATTATGGGGTTAAATGCCAGCCGTAGACGGGACAAAATTTTTTTTTTACCATTGGTGGTAAGGTCGGCCGATCGAACGACCAATTATCGTTTTTTTTTTTTCTTAAACGGACGGTTTTTTTGACCCGTCTATGGCCTGCATTAGTCAAAGCTAGAGCTCTTAAATCAGAAGGGAGTATGAGCTTTGCTAATGTGCTAATTGATGAGCTTCAGGTCTGACTAATGCAGACCATACATGAAACGAATTCTGAATGCATTTTCTCTAGAAAATCGTAACTAAGTATTTTCATTAAAATTTTGCACCATTAAGGAGCAAAATCATCAGCATTAGCTGATTTTCATGTGGCCATTGAATTTGAGTGATCAGGCATGTTGGAATTGTTAGAAAAACAAAATTTCTAATCAATGATGGGAGAATCGTGCAAAAAAGAAATAAGCATGAGCTGTGACCTGTATATATAAAAAAAAAAAAGATTCCCAGCCACGAAAAAATTATTTTCTTTAGCAACATGTGATTAAAGGCTTTGTTGGTCGAATTTCTAAATCAGTGGTGGCACCATAGGATTTCAAAATGCACAAAATGTTCAATTTTCTAAAGAAAATGCATTCAGAATTTGACCCTTGTATGGCCTTCCTTAGTAGGGCATGTGTCAGAGCTCAGCACAGAGGCAACTTCTTCCACACAGAGAGCAGGGGTCCCTCTGCAGCATGCTGACAGGAGACAGGCTTTTAAAACTCAAGCTGTGGCTGCTTTCTAAAATAAAATAAATTTACACCTTTAGTTTGGATGCACCAGGAATGTATTTAGCTGACTTCAACTGAAAGTTCAGTTGGGTTATTAAAGTATAATTCCAGAACCAACCTAACTAGTCTGAATAATCCCCCCTCCCGCCTTCCTAACACCCATGCTGACTAGCCTATGTAAAAAAGATGTGTATACTTCCCTATTCTCAGCCTGCTCTAGTGATGTGAACCCCTGTGTCAGCCAATGGCAGCTGCGGGGGAGAGGAGAGAGCTTTTAACAATGCCTATCAGCAATAACATCACCCATAGGCTCCCACGTCCCAGCCATTGTCCCCGCTCTCTCCTCCCCACTGCAGAAACCACTGACTGACACAGGGGAGCTGGATCATGTGACTTGATTGGAGCAGGCTGAAACTAGGCATATATATATATATATATATATATATATATATATATATATATATATTTTTTTTTTTTTTTTTTTTAATTATTATTATTTATTTACTTTTTTACACAGTCTAGTCAGCATAGGTGTTAGGAGGGGGGAAGGAATATTTTTAAGACTAGTTAGGTTTAGGCTGGAGGTCTACTTTAAGTATTATCAGAGTATATTAAACATTTAAAAATGCTTATTAAAAGCCAATTCCAGAGCACTGTAAACGTTTATAAAGGGAAACCCACAGTTTGTGTAAAGAAAGTCCACTAGGTATATAAAACACTAAAACACTTTACTGTGTATTATGAATTGCATATGGGCTGGATATACTGTATATATGAAAAAAAATTTTTTAGATGGGCTGCTAAACCTTTTGAGAAGCAGGAGAAAATAGTGTAATGGAAAGATTAAGTCATCAGTGTTTCTTCAAAATATAATACTTTTAAATATATTATTTTGTATTATATTTAATAATTGTGTCCATTTTGTAGATTTTGATAATAATGAGCAAATATTAACGTTGCCTCCAGGGGAAAAAAACACAATCATGCCTTCAGTTCATGTTTACCAAATGTACTTTGGTTCGGTCCATACAAGTTTGACAATTGTGGATCTCAAATCCAAACCCCATTGTAGTCAATTGGAGCTGAACCTTAAAAATGAGTAATGGTCTTTTTCTGGGCTAATAGGCAAGAGAGTGTCAACCAATGAGCATAGGGAGCTGGGAATTGGCTTAGGGGACATATAAGAATGCAAAAAAAAAGTTTTTTTTTAAACTTTATTATTCAGAGGGGAAAAAATATGAAAATCATTCAAACCACATGCTTAGGGGATACCTTAAAGCTGTAAAGAGCATTACAATTCTCAGGGATAGCATCAGTGACACCGTAAATTGCACATGTAATACTTTAATTTATTATAGCAGCATTCCAATATGGTTGATTTCCACAAACAAGAGCTTTTTTAGGTAGTTTTTTGGTGTGTAGTAGCGATAGACTATAATTAAGTGTTGGTAGTTAATGGTATCAACTTCATACAGACATCCAATCAGTGGCATGACCAATCACTTAGTAACTTTTGGTCTTATTTTCAGTACAAAGCCCTACTGTGTATGAAATCAACCCAAAGTGTACAAAAACAACTCCAAAGCCCCAACCTACATTGCAGAAATTCAGTTGTTTTGTAAAACTAAACAATAGCATTTCCATATTTCAGAGAAAACAGCCAAACATATAGCCCAGTGGCTGGAGAATATAGAAGTAGATTGGCTTTGGTCTGGGGTAAAAACCTAATTTATATCCTTAACCACCTCCTGCCCACCATATAAGGAAATGACGAGTGGGCAGCAGCTCTCTCGCTTTGGGAGGACATCATATGACTTTCTCCCACTTTAACTGCGCATGCCTGCCCTGGGGGAGCATGGTGCGGCAATCGGTGGCACGCTGTGTCCCTGGGACACAATGGATCACCGATCACAGTAAAGAGCCGAAGACACAGGCTCTGTCATGTGATCAGCTGTGTCCAATCACAGCTGATTGCATATAGACAAGGAAATGCAAGTTATCGGCAGTCCTCTCCTCATGCTGACAGCGTGTGAGGAGAGCAGGTAAGCGGCATTCCTCAGAGGGGACATCTACACTGCTCATCAGGGCACCTATCAGTGCCCATCAATGCCACTTGTCAGTGCACATCAATGCCACCTATCACTGCCTACCAGTGCACATCAATGCCACATATCAGTGCCCATCAGAGCTGTATTTCAGTGCCAACTATCAGTGCCAGTCAGTGACGCCTATCAGAGCAGCCAATCCGTGCCACCTATCAGTGCCCATCGGTGCTGCCTAACAGTTCCAATCAGTGCCACCTAACAGTGCCAGTCAGTGCCCGCCTATCAGTGCCCATCAGTGCCGCCTATCAGTGCCATATATGAGTGCTGCCTTTCAGTGCCCACCAGTGATGACTGTCAATGCCCACCAGTGCAACCTACCAGTGTCTCCTCATCAATGCCGCTGATCTGCCCATCACCCCATCAATGCAGGCTCATTAGCACACATCAGTGAAGGAGAAAGATTACTTATTTACAAAATATTATAACAGAAACTAAGAAAAAAACATTTTTTTTTTTTTAATTTTCAGTCTTTTTTAGTTTATTTAGCAAAAAATAAAAAAACCCAGTGGTGATTAAATGCCACCAAAAGAAAGCTCTATGTCTCTAAAAAAAAAAGATTAAAATTTTTGTTTGTGTACAGTGTTGCAAGACCACGCAATAGTTATTCAAAGTGTGACAACACTGAAAGCTGAAAATTGGCCTGGGCAGGAAGGGGGTAAAAGTGCCAAGTAGGCAAGTGGTTAACAAAACAGACAGGTATGTTATTTCAAAGATAGCAGCTTTCAAATATTGTATAGACTTGCTGCACATTATGTGGGCATTTGTACTTAGCCAGTATAATAGAGAAAGAGATGTGTGCAGTTTGTACAATATTTTAAGAACAAGGTAAGTACAAAAATGTCACATTGTCATTACCAAAAGCAATTCAGAGAGCAGTTATGCAACAGTGCATATGGTATATTTTATTAAATCAATATAGAAAGTTGACTGGATATGCTACAAGATCCCTAGATGAGCACTAGAGATGAGCGAATTATTCAAAAATTCGATTCGACTGATTCGGCGAATTTGTGAAAAAATTTTGATTTGAGTCGAATATATTTGCTGCGAATTTAACTTATAAAAGGGTGTTTCTAGGCTTCAGAGAGCCTTTATATTAGTGCAGAACACTGTACCTTTAATTTAAATGCCCTTGGAGTCTGCTGGGGAAGAGAAATAATACTGACAGTCAGTATGACATGCAGATGAGTGCCGTCGATCTTAGAATCACCGCACACTTCACTCATTTGGGCAGTCACGGGGCCAAAACCAGAGTGTGGAGCCACAGTGTGGCGGTGGAGGCAGCAGCAATGGGAGGCCATACAGCACCCTATGACAAAAATGGAAACCACCAGCTGTGTGAGGAGACCTGAAAGTGGCACATGGCAGAGTGTGGCGATGGAGACAGCAGCAATGGGAGGCCGTACAGGGACCCATGACACACTCTGGACCTGGCAGCAGCATGAGGAGGCGGTACAGGGGCCCATGACAGATTACGGGCCTGGCAGCAGCATGAGGAGTTGGTACGGGGGCCCATGGCAGATTACGGGCCTGGCAGCAGCAATGGGAGGCACGTACAGGGCACCCATGACACACTCTGGACCTGGCAGCAGCATGAGGAGGGAGGTACAGGGGCCCATGACAGTATACGGGCCTGGCAGCAGCATGAGGAGTCGGTACGGGGGCCCATGACACACTCTGGACCTGGCAGCAGCATGAGGAGGCGGTACAGGGGCGCATGACAGATTACGAGCCTGGCAGCAGCAACTTGGACAGGAGGACGTTCAGCTTCTGCACCGTCGGGTGCGTGCTCGCAAACTGTTGTCTCTTGGAAACGGATTCCAAGAAAGACTGCTGACGGAATCCGTGAAGAGGAGTAGCAGGAGAAGGAGCATCTGAACGAGCGGAATATGCCAACAAGCGACAACAGGTGCCCATGACAGATTACGGGCCTGGCAGCAGCATGAGGAGTCGGTACGGGGGCCCATGGCAGATTACAGGCCTGGCAGCAGCAATGGGAGGCCCGTAATCTGCCAGCACCCTATGACAAAAAAATGGAACACACCAGCAGTGTGAGGGAGAACCTGAAAGTGGCACATGGCAGAGTGTGGGCGATGGAGACAGCAGCAATGGGAGGCCGTACAGGGACCCATGAGAGACTCTGGACCTGGCAGCAGCATGAGGAGGCGGTACAGGGGCCCATGGCAGATTAGGGGCCTGGCAGCAGCTATGGGAGGCCCGTAATCTGCCAGCACCCTATGACAAAAAATGGAACACACCAGCAGTGTGAGGAGACCTGAAAGTGGCACATGGCAGAGTGTGGCGATGGAGACAGCAGCAATGGGAGGCCGTACAGGGACCCATGAGAGACTCTGGACCTGGCAGCAGCATGAGGAGGCGGGTACTGGGGCCCATGACAGATTAGGGCCTGGCAGCAGCAATGGGAGGCCCGTAAGCTGCCAGCACCCTATGACAAAAAAATGGAACACACCAGCAGTGTGTGAGGAGACCTGAAAGTGGCACATGGCAGAGTGTGTGCGATGCGATGGGACAGCAGCAATGGGAGGCCGTACAGGGACCCATGAGAGACTCTGGACCTGGCAGCAGCATGAGGAGGCGGTACAGGGGCCCATGGCAGATTACGGGCCTGGCAGCAGCTATGGGAGGCCCGTAATCTGCCAGCACCCTATGACAAAAAATGGAACACACCAGCAGTGTGAGGAGACCTGAAAGTGGCACATGGCAGAGTGTGGTGATGGAGACAGCAGCAATGGGAGGCCGTACAGGGACCCATGAGAGACTGTGGACCTGGCAGCAGCATGAGGAGGCGGTACAGGGGCCCATGGCAGATTACGGGCCTGGCAGCAGCAATGGGAGGCCCGTAATCTGCCAGCACCCTATGACAAAAAATGGAACACACCAGCAGTGTGAGGAGACCTGAAAGTGGCACATGGCAGAGTGTGGCGATGGAGACAGCAGCAATGGGAGGCCGTTCAGGGACCCATGAGACACTGTGGACCTGGCAGGCAGCAGCATGAGGAGGCGGTACAGGGGCCCATGGCAGATTAAGGCCTGGCAGCAGCAATGGGAGGCCCGTAATCTGCCAGCACCCTATGACAAAAAATGGAACACCTGGGCAGCAGTGACAGGTGAGAACCGCCGTATCTTTAAAAGTTTTCCCAGGCCACACAATGGCACGAGCATATGCTGACGCAACGAGTAGCCCAGCATGGGCCCCCTGGCCACGCTTGACCCATGAGAGACTCTGGCCACATAGTCGCAGCATACGGCTACGTTTACTTCCTCCATGGCAGATTTGACGAAAAATGGCCACACCGCCGAGTAGGAAACTTTGCCCCCGCTACTCCTCACTGACAACTGCTACTTGGTGCAACCGCACCAGCTACTGTGTGAGGAGACTGCTGTGGAAACTCCGTGGCCATGGCCTCCAGACACTGCTGGACCCTGGCCTCCTGGCAGCAGCAATGGGAGGCCGTGTACAGGGACCCCATGACAGACACTCTGGACCTGGCAGCAGCATGAAGAGGGCGGGTACAGGGGCCCATGGCAGATTAGGGGCCTGGCAGCAGCAATGGGAGGCCCGTAATCTGCCAGCACCCTATGACAAAAAATGGAACACACCAGCAGTGTGAGGAGACCTGAAAGTGGCACATGGCAGAGTGTGGCGATGGAGACAGCAGCAAATGGGAGGCCGTACAGGGACCCATGAGAGACTCTGGACCTGGCAGCAGCATGAGGAGGCGGTACAGGGGCCCATGGCAGATTAGGGGCCTGGCAGCAGCAATGGGAGGCCCGTAATCTGCCAGCACCCTATGACAAAAAATGGAACACACCAGCAGTGTGAGGAGACCTGAAAGTGGCACATGGCATGAGACACTATGGACCTGGCAGCAGCAGGAGGCATGAGGAGGCGGTACAGGGGCCCATGGCAGATTAGGGGCCTGGCAGCAGCTATTACAGGCCTGGCAGCAGCAAGGGAGGCCCGTAATCTGCCAGCACCCTATGACAAAAAATGGAACACACCAGCAGTGTGTGAGGAGACCTGAAAGTGGCACATGGCAGAGTGTGGCGATGGAGACAGCAGCAATGGGAGGCCGTACAGGGACCCATGAGAGACTCTGGACCTGGCAGCAGCAGCATGAGGAGGCGGTACAGGGGCCCATGGCAGATTAGGGGCCTGGCAGCAGCTATGGGAGGCCCCGTAATCTGCCAGCACCCTATGACAAAAAAATGGAACACACCAGCAGTGTGTGAGGAGACCTGAAAGTGGCACATGGCAGAGTGTCGCGATGGAGACAGCAGCAGCATGGGAGGCCGTACAGGGACCCATGAGAGACTGTGGACCTGGCAGCAGCATGAGGAGGCGGGGGGGGTTCAGGGGGCCCATGGCAGATTAGGGGCCTGGCAGCAGCAATGGGAGGCCCGTAATCTGCCAGCACCCTATGACAAAAAATGGAACACAACAGCAGTGTGAGGAGACCTGAAAGTGGCACATGGCATGAGACACTGTGGACCTGGCAGCAGCATGAGGAGGCGGTACAGGGGCCCATGGCAGATTAGGGGCCTGGCAGCAGCTATGGAGGCCCGTAATCTGCCAGCACTCTATGACAAAAAATGGAACACACCAGCAGTGTGTGAGGAGACCTGAAAGTGGCACATGGCAGAGTGTGGCGATGGAGACAGCAGCAATGGGAGGCCGTACAGGGACCCATGAGAGACTCTGGACCTGGCAGCAGCATGAGGAGGCGGTACAGGGGCCCATGGCAGATTACGGGCCTGGCAGCAGCAATGGGAGGCCCGTAATCTGCCAGCACCCTATGACAAAAAATGGAACACACCAGCAGTGTGAGGAGACCTGAAAGTGCACATGTTTGGGGCATGATTCATGGCGGATTTAGTCAGTTGTGTCAGGAACTGGTGGTTTGAAATCCAGACTAATCCACGCCTGATTCATTTTCACAAATGTGAGTCTCTCCACACTTTGGTGGACAGTCGTGTCCTCCGCGGAGTTACAATACCTCCTGCCGCACTAAACACGCGCTCCGATGCCACGCTACTGGCCGGGCATGACAGCCTTTCAAGGGCAAATTCAGCTAGTTGGGGCCAAAGGTCAAGTTTCGTTGCCCAGTAGTCAAGGGGATTGTCTACCTCGGTTGGCAAGGTGCTGTCCAAGTAGGCCTAAGCCTGTTGTTTGAGGTCCTGCTCCAGGTCCACCTGATGCTGCTGCTGCTGCGGCTGGTTAGTAGTTTCCTCACTGCGCTGGTGAAGAAAGCTACTCATCATCGACTGCAGACTGAGGCAGCCGCTGCTGGTGGAGCTACCACTGCTCCTACCACCCCACCCCTCCCCTGCTGCCATGGCAGCGGAAAACGCGAGCGCACAGGGCCCACAGTGTCTGAGGATGGACGTTGGCGCAGAAAGGCAGAGACCAGCTGACTACATAGGTGGTTTTTATAGTACGTTATTTTGGCCTCCCTCTCAGCAGGTGTGAAAAAGACCACCATTTTGGAACGGTAGCGAGGGTCCAACAAGGTGGACAGCCAAAAGTCATCCCTCTGTCTGATGGTTATTATTCGGCTGTCGCTACGCAAGCAAGCGAGCATGCTATGGGGCCATTTGTGCCAAGGAATGCGAGGGACTCCCTGCCTCCATCTCCACAGCATACTGCCACGGTGCGTCTGGGTCCTCTGTCTCCTCCTCCTCCTCCTCTACCAGATGCTCCTGCTCCTCCACTCCTGTCCGCTGAGTGGAAAAACCACCCATTTCACTCAATAATTCCTGAGCACAAATGTCCTCCTCTACCTCCTCCTCTTCTTCCTGTCCTGCCCCCCACAGGGGTCATGTGGCGTTGAGATCTGTGCGCCACGTCTACTGCACCCTGACCAGCCATTGTTAACAGCATTTGTTCCAGGACGTGCAACAGAGGAATGACGTCGTTCATCCCATAGTCCTGCCGACTCACGAAATAGCGTGGCCTCCTCAAAGGGCCTGAGCAAGCGGCAGGTGTCACGCATGAGCTGCCAATGGCTGACATCGAAGTTACACAGGGGAGTACCTTTATCCGCTTGTAACATCAGGAAATCGGTGATGGCCTTTCGCTGTTCGTAAAGGCGTCTAACATGTGTAGGGTTGAATTCCACCTTGTTTGCAACGTCGCAGATCAGGTGATGCTGTGGAATTCCGTTCTGCCGCTGCAGCTCAAGGAGGGTGTGCTTTGCGGTGTAGGAATGGCTGAAATGCATGCAAAGTTTACGTGACATTTTAAGGATGTCTTGCAGTGGGATGGTGGATTTTAGGAACCGCTTGACAACCAGATTGAACACGTGAGCCATGCATGGCGCATGGCACAACCTTCCTGACTCAGAGCAGACACCATGTTCTTTCCGTTGTCGGTCAACATGGTTCCGATTTTCAGTTTGCGCGGAGACAGCCATCTGTCAATTTCTCTGTTCATTACACTCAGAAGTTCCTCCCCTGTGTGACTACGTTCGCCAAGGCATACCAGGTGCAGCACAGCGTGACACCGTTGCGCCCTGCACATGTGATATGCCGGTCGGGTAATGGGACTTGGCACGGGGGTGGCGGCTGAGGACACGAAGGAAGAAGAGGTGGTAGAGGCGGACATCTTTGCCGGACCAAGGACGTGCAAACGTGGAGGCAAAAGCGGCGTGACCTGTCCAAGTTTGCTGGTGCGGCTGTGCCGGCACCACGTTCACCCAGTGGGCCGTAAATGACATGTACTGTCCCTGACCGTAGTTACAGTTCCACACGTCGGCGCTGCCATGCACTTTGGCAGAGACCGACATGCTCAAAGACTGGCCCACCATCTCTTCTACATGTGAATGCAGGGCTGGCACTGCCTTTTTGGCGAAGAAATAACGGCTTGGCACTCTCCACCGCGGCGCGGCACAAGCCATCATTTCTCGGAAAGGTGCTGAGTCCACCACTTGTGGAAAGGGAGGGACTGCAGCACCAGCAACTTGGACAGGAGGACGTTCAGCTTTTGCACCGTCGGGTGCGTGCTCGCAAAACTGTTGTCTCTTGGAAACGGATTCCAAGAAAGACTGCTGACGGAATCCGTGAAGAGGAGTAGCAGGAGAAGGAGCATCAGAACGAGCGGAAGATGCCAACGAGCGACAACTCCCCTCAGCAGAGGTGTTGGAGCCTTGACTGGCTGATAGAGGGCGATTGACGTCGGGTGACGGAGAAAGTAACGGAGCGGGTGATGGAGCGGGGGCTGGGGCAGGCAGAACCGCCGTATCTTTATCACGGTTTTCCCAGGCCACCAAATGGCGATGCTGCATATGCTGACGCAACGCTGTAGTCCCAACATGGGCCCCCTGGCCACGCTTGACTTTCTGGCCACATAGTCGACATACGGCTACGTTTACTTCCTCGGGCGGCTTGACAAAAAATTGCCACACCGCCGAGTAGGAAACTTTGCCCCCGATACTCCTCACTGGCTGACTGCTGCTTCCTCCGTGCACACCGGCACCACTACTGGCCGTGGTGGTAGGCTGCAGTGGAGCTGGTGCTGTACTCCGTGGCCGTTTGCCTCCACTGACACTGCTGCGACCCTGCTGCCTCCTGGGCAATTGTCCCACCGACTGTTTTGCTCGCTGCCAAGCTGCCACCCTCTTCTCCTGATGATGCGGAAGCAATAGCCTGATGACGACGAGGCTGCCAAGTGCAATCAGCCTCATCATCATCAATTAGGGTCTCCGCCTCACTACTAGCACCCTCGGCTGCGTGTGGGTCAGGAGAGACAGTCCTGTCTCCAGACCAGCTACCGAGCCACTCTCCTCGCCACTACTTCTTCGCCTGGCTGCTGAAGAGGCGGATGTCTCCCCCCGTTCCTGACCGCCCTCTGTTAGCTCTTCCTCACTGTACAGTGGGGATGAGCCCACAGCATGCGATACTTCGCTTGGTGAGGGAACACCAAAGGACAGGGGCAGGTAGAGGACACGTGTGATTTCAGTGGGCTTGCTCCCGGGCCATGCCAACTAACGGTTGTGTCTGACGTACCCACCGACCGTTGGCTGTAGGTGTCAGAGGTGACCTGGGAAGAAGAGGAAGACGACCGAGCCAAACCAATCGATGACGGCAGGGTTGTCGGTGGAGACACGACCGCTGGATGACACCGGGAGCACTGGCCTCTGGCTGCGACTAGTGCTGCCTCGACCCCCTTCCTCTGCTGCCACGTCTGCTCGCTCCTAAAAACATTGCCTCCTCTGCCACTCCTCTGCATGTTGTCTGACATACTCTTTATAATTAAACGATTCTGTGTCCCTAAGTAACAATTCTGTGTCTGTCCCTGAGTAACAATTCTGTGTCCCTCAGTAAAACAATTCTGTGTCCCTCAGTAACAATTCTTTGTCCCTGAACTATTCTAACAATTCTGTGTCCCTGAGTAACAATTCTGTGTCCCTCAGTAACAATTCTGTGTCCCTCAGTAACAATTCTGTGTCTGTCCCTGAGTAACAATTCTGTGTCTGTCGCTGAGTAACAATTCTGTGTCCCTCAGTAACAATTCTGTGTCCCTCAGTAACAATTCTGTGTCTGTCCCTGAGTAACAATTCTGTGTCTGTCGCTGAGTAACAATTCTGTGTCCCTCAGTAACAATTCTGTGTCCCTCAGTAACAATTCTGTGTCCCTCAGTAACAATTCTGTGTGTCTGTCCTGAGGTAACAATTCTGTGTCTGTCCCCTGAGTAACAATTCTGTGTCCCTCAGTAAACAATTCTGTGTCCCTCAGTAACAATTCTGTGTCCCTCAGTAACAATTCTGTGTCTGTCCCTGAGTAACAATTCTGTGTCTGTCCCTGAGTAACAATTCTGTGTCCCTAAGTAACGTTTCTGTGGCCCTCAGTAACAAAATCTGTGTCCCTCAGTAACAATTCTGTGTCCCTCAGTAAACAATTCTGTGTCTGTCCCTGAGTAACAATTCTGTGTCTGTCCCTCAGTAACAATTCTGTGTCTGTCCCTGAGTAACAATTCTGTGTCTGTCCCTGAGTAACAATTCTGTGTCTGTCCCTGAGTAACAATTCTGTGTCCCTCAGTAACAATTCTGTGTCCCTCTCAGTAACAATTCTGTGTCCCTGAGTAACAATTCTGTGTCCTCAGTAACAATTCTGTGTCCCTCAGTAACAATTCTGTGTCCCTCAGTAACAATTCTGTGTCCCTGAGTAACAATTCTGTGTCCATGAGTAACAATTCTGTGTCCCTCAGTAACAATTCTGTGTCCCTCAGTAACAATTCTGTGTCTGTCCCTCAGTAAACAATTCTGTCTCTGTCGCTGAGTAAACAATTCTGTGTCCCACTAGTAAAACAATTCTGTGTCCCTCAGTTAACAATCTGTGTC